GTTTCTTTGCTAATTTTTATACTGTATATAGGATTATTTCTTTGTTTTTTTGGCTGATCCTGCCCTTGCTGAGATCGTTGATGTTGCAGTTGAGTCTGGAGAAGATGCTTGAGCCTTTAAGTGTCCTTTGTGAACTCATTTTTTTCTTTTTTTTGACAATTTACCAAATATTGTAATTTTGTATATATGGGAAAGAGTGTTAATAAGGATTTATATATTATAATATATATATATATTTTAAAGATAAATATGTATTGACCAGTGGGTTAATAGCACAATGGATAGTACTCCCTGGTCTCTAAATGCATGTCTCTAGTTCAATACCCACAGGAGGTAAAACGCATAATATTCCTTCATTTGTAGGTTTACCGGTTTTCCTATAAATGTTGTACTCCAAACATCCGGATCCTGATCAATTTAGTTAGGTTGCATGAAAATGGGACCTCTGGTCTTCTTGACGATCGTGGGCTAAAAACAGGTCAAAGCACAAAAGGTTGCACAAGGAAAGGGTTCTGGTTTAACTCTGATAAAAGCCCACAAACCCCCCTGGCATGGCAGACTCTATAGCACAAAGAACACTCTAGCCTGGGGCTATTCCAATCCAGTGTTTGCTTAAAAGAAAATGATTTCTACAAGGAAAGTTGAAAACCGCAGGTGATAACAAGGAGTACAGTACCTTCTTTAAGGAACCAGGTGAAAAATATTGAATGGGTTATCCGGGTGTTCTAATCAATCCTGAAAGGTACATGCTTTAAACGACTACCGCCAAGATCTAGATTAGGTTAGATAGTTTAAAACTAGTGATAGGATTTCTATCCCTAAAGATCCTTTCCAGTATATGGATCCACTTTCTGGATGGATCAATCCGTATAACTGGGTAAGGCTATAGGTAGGAGTGCGAATTAACTTAAATAGACCTTGTAGTCATGTAATTGAATATAAATCACTTAATAAAGTCATATGTTATTAGCATTCTTTACCTGAAAAAAAAAAGATAAATATGTATTGATGTAAATCTTTATTGATATATAATATCTAAACAGACATCAAGTATCTTTTATATATGAAAACATAAACAATTGAGTTTATATTTTATATCTTATATATATAGAATTAATACTGCCTATTGATTATTTCTAGTAATTGTTTATCTATTTATCTTTATAACTCAACTATATGAACTTATATCAGAGTAGATAGGTCCACATGTCAGATAGAATTAATCCAGGAAATAAAAATCCTGCCACCAGTTTTAAACTATTTAAATCTGTTAATATAATAGAGCAGAAAGCTTATATATCTTATAGAGATAATTAGAATATTAGAATATTTCAAATATTTTTTGCCTGATTCTTTAAAAAAGATATTATACTTTTTGTCACTATCTGTGATTTCAGATTTTCTTTTTGGAGTTCTCTTCTTTTAAGCAAGTGTTGAATTGGAATAGTTCCAGGCTAGAATGTTTTTTATACTATAGAGTCTGTTGTACCAAGGAATTGTAGGCTTTTATCAGAGTTAAACCAAAAATTTTTTTTTGTGCAATCTTTCCTGCTTTAACCTGTTTTTAGCTTGTGATTATTAAAAAGACCAGAGGTTTTATTTTTATGTAGCCTAATTAAATTTGATTAAGATCTGAATATTTTTGTATGACATCTGTGGAAAAACTAATAAATTCACAAATAAAGAATAAATTTTATACATTTTGCTTTCTGTAAATATTGAACTAGGGACATATATTTGGAGATCTAAGAGTACTATTTACTGTGCTATAGATTCACAGGTTTTTATAATATATATTTTTATTTTTATATAGTATATTTTAAATTATTTATATACAATATATTTTAAATTATTTATATAATTCATAATTTTTTTGCTAATCCAAAAAACAGATATTTTTAAAAAAAAAATTATTTTTTGATAACAAAATTTAGAGTATATATATAATAGAAATTAATATATGCTTGATACAATTTGATATAATTATTTGACACAATTAATTGAGTTATTATTAAAATATATAAAATAATTGAGTCAGATAAAATTATTTTTGAGAATTTTGACAATTGAGTCAGCAGCAAAATAATTTATACCACATATATAATCTAGAGTATAAATATAAATTAGTATATATATTAATAAAAATCTTATAAACAATTATATTTGTAATATAATTAATAATCAAAAGAAGAATAGTTAGATAATTGTCATGCTCACAATTTTATCTGAAACTTATCTTTATAACATTTCTTTTTTTTCTTGAGAAAATTTTTCTAAATATTGTAAAGTCACTATTATTATTACTATTACTATTATAGTGAATTGCCAAAAGTTTATGAACACTTTTATTTTTTTAATTGTACAATATTTATTTTAATAATTATAATTAATTTTTTATAAAAATGTAATGACATTTTTATTTAATATTGCAATTAAAAAAATTTTTTTATTTATCTTATATTTTTCTCTCTAAATTTCGTGTAATTACTAATATAGGCATGAGAAAAGAATCAACATCCAAAACAAAAATTGGTTATAATTTATGGTTTTCAAAGAAAAGATTTGTATTGCACTATTGCAACTTATATCGGATATAAAAAAATCAGTTGTGAATAATATTATAAATAAGTTTATTAAAATCAGATCTATGGAACCACAATCCTGAACTGAACAATCACGACTCCTTGACAATCATGTCTGTATCATTCTTAAAAAACTTGTCATTAATAAAAAAAATTAGTTTTTGTGCAATGCAAAATTAACAAATCTTTTTACATCAAAAACAAAAATTAAAGTATTTAAAAGAACTATTTATCAAACTTTATATTATGAGAAATTAAAATCTTATATTATCTATCCTAAACTGCTTGTCTTCAAAAAGAATATCAAAGAAAGACTTATCTGATGTCTTGAGCATAAAGATTAATCTATTCATAATTTCAAGAAGGTAATCTGAAGCGACAAATCAATGTTTTCTCAATTTCAACAAGAAAATAAAAGCTATATATGGCATAAATCATATGAGGAATGGAATGTCAACTGTCTTTCTGCTATGGTTGGCTATAGCTCAAGTCTTATGCATTGGGGTATTTCTTGTGGTTTGGCATTGGCCCTCTCATTTCCCTTCACATGTTAGTTACAGGTAAGAAAAAACGAAAAATAAAAGAAAAAAATAAATAAATAAATAAAAATAAATAAAAATAAATAAAAAAAAATAAAAACAAAAAATAAAAGAAAATGAATAAATTTTTTTTTTACCGTTTTTTTTGGAAAAATCTATGTCGAAACTCTTGAGGAGAATCTTTTGCCAACTCTTTATAATTTTTTTATAACAAATTAAATTGATATGGGTCAGCCTTGGTTTCAACATGACAATATAAGATCATACACTGCAAAAATTACAAAAAAGTTTCTTGCTGAAAAAAATGTTAGGATTATGAACTGGCCTTCACAAAGCCCAGATCTTAACCCTATTGAAAATCTCTGACATATAATTAAATGTTATCTTAAAAAAGTTACACCTAAATCTCAGAACTTAACAGAACTCGAGCAACATATTAAAAGGTGTTGAAATAAAATAAGTTTAGAAGATTGTCAGCAATTAATCAAAAGTATGTCACATTATATTATGGCTTGTATTGCAGCTAGAGGAAAATCAACAAAATATTGATTATTTAAGTAAAATTAGAAATATAATTAATATGTAAATATTTTATTATATAAAAATTTTTTTTTTATTTAAAAAACTTTTTTACTGAGTTTTAAAAAGTGTCCATAAACTTTTGGTAATCCACTGTATTGTTAAAAAAATTTTTCAATATATTTGCATCTCTAGTACTAAGCAAAAAAACCTTAAATAACAAAAAAAAATCAGTTCTCAATTCACAAACTTTTTAATAATATCAACTTGGATATTAACTTCAAACAATTAAAACTTAAGATTATATTAAAATAAACAAGTCACAGAATGGTTTTGAAAGTTATGATTACTTATTGTAATTGGTTCTATTGATTTGCTTTTAATATATAACTTATGATTCTTTTTGATTATTCAATAATTAATAACCATAAACTATTCAAAGATATTTTTGTTATCAATACTATTTTCATTTGCAGGATATAAGAAAGAAGAGCTATATAATATTAAAGAGAAAGAAAATAAAAAAAGAAAGATTTTAACAATAAAAAAAACAAAAAAAAAAAAAAATAGACAAAAGTAAGAACTAAGCTTTTATTATGAAACTATATTTAAATTATACACAAAAATGTTTACTGAAACAATAGTTGAAATTGATAAAATTAATATATAATATGGTAATCACTCACTTTATACTTCATGTTTAGGTATATCTAAATAAAATATTTGTCAATTTAATCTTAACTATTTATATATTTAATATCTTTGTTATTTTATATACTTTGAGTTCAAGCTCAAAAGTGTTTATAAAAAGATTATTAATAATATTATTGACTAAATTGTAAATAAGTAATCAACAATTATAATCAGAAAGATCAAAAAACTATATTAAAGTTTAAGTCAAAAAAGGATCTTGTATATGCTATTAATATCCAATTATAAAATTTTTTAAGAAAGAATTAAAATTATTTCTATTTGTCATATCTGTATAATCAATCAATATATAATTGAGTAATATATATATCAAGAAAAAAGCTCAATATTATTATAAAAAACAAGAGAGATCTTTGATCTTTATACTTTAAAACTCAATGAAAATATTTAAATAATTATTTAAAAAAATTAATTGCAATTGCAAAATTACTTATTATTAAAAAACAAATGATTAAATTTTTTTATAGGTTTATGAAAAACCAAAACAAAATAAAAAAACTTATGAAAAGCTTATAGCTATTGATTCTGGGATGCAAATCTATTTGTTATATACTGTATTTGTTTACCAAAAGTATAATGAAGATTGAAAAAAATAATGAATAGAGATTAATTTGATTAGGATTATATGTTGACAGGTTAAGTTTAAGTTTCATGAAATTTCTGGCTTTTGTAAAGGTCTTGATTATAATATGAAAAGTATTGGCATTAGGAAATAGATTTGAATTTTGAATAATATTAAATATGCTCAATACATTCTTGATTTTTTCAGAATGATTTAATAAGCTGTCCTTATCATCTTTATTAGATGGATCATTATTTAAATCAATAGTATTCAATTCTGTTTGCACATTTTTATCATATCCACTTCCATAAGCCTTTATGAGAGCATTATAGTGATTAATATTAAGTTTCATATTATTACTTTGCATCAAATCAATAATCATTTTTGAGCTCTCAAAATCTCTGACTGCATACAAACACCTTATCAGATACAAAAGAGTCACATGATTCACAGTAAATTTTTTTCGTCATATTTTCTGAAATACTTGCATTACATTCTTTGAATTCTTTTATACTTCTATAAAATGAATCATAATTCTATAAATTTTAATGTTTGGTGTTAGATTCAATTGCTAAATGTCAAGTAAACCTCTTATGCCTATTCGATTCTTTTATTATTTACTAAGATTTGAGCCACAAGATTGTAAATATAAAGATCTTTATGAAAATAATCCAAGAACTTGAACTTCTTATAAAGTATTAACATGTCAGTCAAGTAACCTTTTTGATAATATATTAATAGCATTAGTCTGTATGTTTTTCGAATAATGGAATTTGCCTATTCAAAGATTACATATAAACTATTCAGAGGTACTTAAATTTTTTTTGCCTTGTATAATATTCAATTACTAATTATAAATGTATTTGAGATTTGAAATGCATATACATTTTAACAACAGTCTTATTATAGTCATCTCATTCCGATTTAGGCAAGTATCTATCATTATTTGAACTAGCTCAAAATTTAACAATAAATAATTTTCCGTAAAATTTTTTGCTTTGTCAAAATCATTTTGATAAATAATTGGTTACACTAGTATAATGTAAATTTCTTTAAACAGTTAGCTACGATGGCATCTTAACAACTTGAATTAGTTAAAAAATATAGACTTGTGAAAAGTAAAATAACTTAAAGTTAGGTCTAGAAAATTTGTATAAGAATCAATTAATTTAATCCAGTAAATTATATTGATTGCATTAAAGTAGTTAATTGATAGTGATATGTAAATTTCAAAAGTATCAAAATAGGTAATAGTAAGTTAAAGAATAAATTGACTAAGGTTTTTATTGTAAGTTAATTTTTTTCTCAAATAAGAATAATATTTGAGTTAGTGTTATAATTGATATTAGTGATAAGGAGTTTTTTAACAAATGACTTATACCTTGTTTATTGAATATTATATTAAGTATATTGTAATATGAAAAGTAGCGACACATATGTCACCAACATCAATCATCAAGACATGTTGCATGCCATAATTAAAACAAGCCATGATGAAATAATAGCCAGCATATGAAAATATGAAAGCTTTGATAGAAAATATCGTATAAGCGAAAAAAATCAGGAAAAGTTATGTGTTCTGCCTCTGCTTAATAAAATTAATTAATTATGTAAGATGACGACGAAACAATAATGTGTTATATAATAGCCTAGTCATGATTTCATTACTTTATTTTATTTTTACTTTTCTTTATTTGTTTATTTTATTTTCTTATTGATACTTATGTAATTACTGGATTTAATGTATAAAAAGAATCATGATTATATCGAAAAAGAGATAATTGATTAGAAATAAAATTAATAAAAATCATTTTTGGCCATAATCAAATCCACCTCACCCATAATAAAAACACTTATTGTCATTATATGAATCTTAGCTTTTCATTAGTGACAGACTTATCAATACCAGTGACAATATATAAATATGTAAATTACAAATCTAAAATTCTATTTATTTTTTTAAATTTACTAAAGATTGTTCTTATTATACAACTTATATATATGATAGAATTAAATTCAAACATTTTCAAAAATTATATTATAATAGAATTATTAAGTAATATATAGTAAATAATTGGAAATTGTATTTAATTTAGAATCATATTGTTGATCAAATTCTTTTTTTATAATAATACAGAAACATATATTATACAGCTTATTGCAAAAATTATTGATATATTTTTAATTAATTTGTCAAAGCTTTATTAATGCTTATTAAAAGAAATTATAAAATTATATAATATATTTTAATTTAATCAATTATTTGTTATTTAGTTTATTATTGAATTAATATTTAATATATTTAATTTTTATTATATTATTTTGTTTTATTTTTAAACACCAACTGAGTCTTGCTTTATTAATATTTTTGATACTTTATACATATTATATTGTATATTGTACAGAGTTTACTATATATAAATAAAACTATATTTAAGTAACTTACATATCAACTTGTTACTATCAGTTTATCCAAGGATAGAGGCTTGAGCTAATATGCCAAGGCTTTATTAGCTTGTATACTGGTTTTTGATATATATGCACTTAAGTTCTATTCCTAACTGGAAATATATTAAGGAAAAGTAAAAGGGAAACTGGGAGTAGTATCTATTATAGTAAATAGAACTTCTATAGAGCAAATCCTCTAACCCAAATTAGATTAGCAAGAACTTTACAGAAAGAAACATTAGGTATCACAAGAAATGATCACCAAGTTATTTTTTTTCTTAAACTGAATGCCTTCTACACCTTTTTGTTTTTCCAGCTTCTGGCAATTATTATAGCACCAATCAGATGATCATTATATTACATCTTTTCTGGAAATTATAATCTTAATACCTATCAGATCAGCATGTAAATTGACTTCTTATAAGAAACAGCACTTTAGCAGATTATGATATCAGATATCATATTAATTCTTATTTAACCACCTTTATTAGGTGTTGAACTGATATCTTATGATCTAAACCTGGGACCACTGACTACTATGTTATAGACCTACAGGTCTATTACTTTATTTTGTTGATTATTTATTTTTATTATTTTATTGTATGATATTGTTTTTCTTTTACATTTTATAAATTATTTGTTTTACTATATCTAGTTCTTTTTTAAACTCTTATAAATTCTATTAAAAATATTGTATATAATTTTTTTGTACAGTTGAAGATGTATTTGTATTAATTATAGTGATAATTTTATTGATTAAATCTTTTCTTATTATATAGTTTTAAACTTTTTAATCCAATTTTATATATATTTAATAATTCTTTGATATATTTATAATTCTGTAAACTTTATTATTCTGTTTGTAATTTTTTATTAATTATTTATATAATTATATTGATAATATTTGTTTGATTATTATTATATATTATCATATATATTGTTAATATAAAAATTGTATATTTTAATATAGATATTTTTTGGTTTTTCTATATTTCAATTTAAGCTTTGCCAGGATACACCACTACTGATGCATCAGCTTATGCATCAGTTGATTGCAAAATGTATTGCAAGTTAGGATAAATACATCAGCACTATTATAAATAGTAATATATTGCTGACAATAAAGAAAAATAATATAATATATAATAAATAGTACAATAAACAGTATAATATACAGTAACAATACAATAAGAATACAATAGTTAAAAAAGAAGAAGAGTTGTAACTTGTTATATAATATTCTAATAAAGAATATATTAATAAACCTACCTTAAAAATGAAGTTCCATAGCTAAGAGGATAATTGATAAGGTCCATGGTTTGTTGCACAATTATTAAGGAACAAGGTCTAACTGACAAGATAGTTCAAGAAATAGAGGCAAATGACTCTTCAATTCTTTTTATAGTATTATATTGTTAGTATAAAAATTGTAGTAGGGGAACATGACACGACATGTGGGGCCCGGCGTGATACCGCATGGGGGATCGATCATGCATCAATCATGCATGACCGATAGGCACAGAGTTTGTAGAAGTTTGGTAATTCTGCATTACACGACGATAGATTTAGAGATGTGTCACAATCATGTATAAATAGCAGCAGTATCCCATTATAATGTATAAGTTGTGATAGACAATAAAATAACGAATTAGTAAAAAATCCAATTGTGTGCTAGTGCAATGATAATTAATAAACTTACCTTATTTGTCTCTAAGTTATCCTGGAAAGAATCCACGAGCCCTGCAGTTTGCCAACGAAGGATTAGAAGAGGAACCAACCTAGAGAAGAGGAACCAACCTAGAGAAGAGGAAGATAAAGATAATTATCACCACATGTACCTTTGGTATTGCTAGCGATATAGACCCACTCTCCTAATGTCATACGAGTCTTGGTCCAGATTAGCGACAAACTTGCCGTTGAGAACAACAATATGAATACTGTCCTGAGTTAATAACAGACTTGCTATTTTGCTATAACAATATATTGGTTTTTATAGCTTTATTATATTTTGATTATATGTTATTTATATATATTATGTTAAATCATATTTATAATTTATTTTTGAAAGGAAGTTTTGGATTTCAAAGTTTTAGGTAAAAACTTTTGATATTGTTTTTTTTTTATGGTGAAGAAAACAATCAGTATTATAGTTTTTATTGAAATTGATTTGAATCATATACTTAAATGATCTTGTATATGTTAATATTACTACTAACTGTAAGTTTAACCATAATCTAATTCACCTGTATAATCCAATTTACATCAGAGATAAAGCCTACATATTGGGTTAAATTATTTAGAAGGTAAAAATCTTGCCACCAGTTAAAATTATCTAACTTGCTAATCCAATTTTGTTGAAGGGTATATAAGATAACCTTTTTATACAAGCAAATCCAAAGACACTTTGATTACCTCTTTTCACTAAGGCTAGAATATAATCTTGTTATAAAAACACATATCTTTTCACTTCATATTTTTGGCTTATGCAATTATGAATGAGGATTCTGCACATGTATGTACCTCCTAATAGATGCTTCAAAACTGTAATCCTTAGTTGGCACAAGCTATTAAATCTAGGAGTACAAATGCCAAGTAAAGTGCAACATTATTTTTCTTTTAGTAGACACTTCAAGGGAATTTGATTGGCTTAAGTTGCCAAATCTAAAGATATAAATATTGTGAGGGGTTTTTCAAGTCCTCTCTAATACTTAGTTTTGTTAAGGTTGAGGCATAATAATTTGGTCCGAGTATCCTTCTCTTTTTACAAAAATAAACTCAATTCCATTCATTAACATGCACATTCGTCTACTCAAACTATACCAAAGTTTCTGTTGTAGCAATGAGCATTCACACTATCAACTACTTGAAACTCTTCCAAATTTTTTTATAATTGCAGTTTCACCTTCAAATGTCACACATTTGCAATAGTAGTTG